TTGGGAGAAACAACTGTCCAGTTGTCTGAAAAGCATGAATGGCAATCACAATCGATAATGACAATGGCAATCACAATCGATAATGACAATGACAAACGCTTCGAAAAATCATAACGACAATAGCACGGCATGACAGAAATATCTATTGCAGTAATATGGGAACGTAAAAATGAAAAATGGTAAACTTGCGAATGGAGACGGCGGCTCGATTTGGCAATAATAGGAAACTATTCCGCCTTCTTTATGAAGCAACTATAGCTCAGAGAATGATCAGTGAAATGTTGCTGATAGCAATGGATGAATTCTTTGAAGCCAAAGTTAACCATGATGCATCATCTGTTGCCCCGGAAATACTTGATTCGCTCATCGAACCATATTTGCAACTACGACAAAAGAGGAAAATAATCTCTATCATTCAGAAATTTAAGGCTAATAAAATGGTCTTCGGGCTGAACTCTTCATCTATCACATCTTCAACAATTGAGCTTTCTACTAGAGAAAAGCAATTCTGCTTCCTATTCCTGAGAAAGATGACAGGACGTATTATGACAATTATCGAGGAACCAGCCTTCCAGACATCTCCTGGAAAAATTTTTGTTCCTCTTCTGTTGCATAAACTTATGGCAGTATGAGACATTAGGTAGGATGAGTTAGGATACGCCTAAGTTGAATTCAGATCGGAACGCAGCGCTGACCATATTCACGCTAAGAAAGGTGCTGGAACACAGCTTTAAATATCAGCAATCGTCACATGTTTTCTCGATTTTGCAGCTGCTTTCGAATCAATTGATAGAGCTTTGAAAAGTGATGGAATATAAAGGTGTTCCAGAGAAGATTTCATTCGCCTTATGCATTTTTTCAGCATCGGTACAAGCTTGTGTATGGGGAACTCCATCTTTTCTTCTATTCAACCGTGCGATAGACTTAGGATCAATGTATATAAAACGAAAATCTTTTCGTCTTATATACGAGAAAATGAAATATCTATTTTTATCAATCCATTACAAGGTTAAGGAAGTGTCTGATTTTAAATATCTTGGATCCACCGCAATCCGAAATGGTCGAGACAAAATGCCTCAGTGGGTTGTTGTTCAATTGGGAGCGTCGATGCTGAAGTTCGATTCCCTGCAGAAGTAAGCCTGTACAAAAATCCGGGTGATGCTGGCGACCTGTATCTATACTTCTATCGCCAATGAACCAACGAACTCGCTGGCTTATTTATCCAGTGCGATAAACCAACGAAGCGAATCTAAGTAGTAATGGTGAGGGCTCTTAAAAAAAAAATCCAAAATGGCCAGGCAAAAGATGAAATTACAACTCGGGTAACGACAGCTAGAAATAGTTCTTCCGGTTGATGAAATCGTTATGGACTCGTCATGAAATCACTACATCTATGTAATCACAATTCACTCGATCTTACCATATGACTGCAAGATCTGGCCACTGAGAGTGGAGGATATTAAGAAGTTATCTTCCTTTGACCACTCACGTCTAAGAGACATCTTATTGGTCCGCCGAGCAAATAAAATCGCATATGATTTCATCCAATCTCGCACAAATACCACTTGCATTAAGTACCATCATAGAACGCCGTCTTCGCAGGTTAGGACACATTCTTCATCGCCCACCATAGGAGTTGATAGGTATTTCGTTACTTTCTAAACCTTGTGACGAATGGCATCAAAATCGAGGTGGTCCAATCAAGACCTGGACTGACAAACAAGAAAGATTTTGAACGTAAGGGCGGACCAGCGATATATGGACTTAGACGATGGAAGAAGGAATGGCTTCTATTACTGTCAGCGATAGCATTAGACCGAATAGCCTGAAGACGTCTTACCCTCCTAGCCAATAGTGAGAACTTTTAGAAAAAAAGAATCAGATCTAAACGAAATATTTTTGGCTCGATTTAGGGCTAAAATAAAAATAACAGGGAAAAACCAATTATAAGCAATAGACCATAGTGATAAACTGGAGCATTCGCTCATAAAGTCTCTATTTGTTATATAGTTGAAAAATAATTCTTTCCTACCCTTCCTATTTAATGCTAAGAAAGCATGATTTAGGTGTTTCCAATAAATAAATAAATCTGGAGCGGTCGGTGAGTGATGGGCATTTAGATTTTATATTTAATTTTTTTTGTTGCATTATTTCTTTATAGTAAGGCAATTACTTCACTTTATTCTCTTGTATATATTTGCGTCTTTACTAATAAAGGTTACCCAAATTACCCAAATTTGAAGTTCGTAACGAGAAAAGTAAGAAGTAGAACGCTGGCCGCGTTTTATAATATTATTAAGAAATAAAATCCCGCGTGGCAGGGAAATTTCTAAATCTATACAGAAAAAAGATAGTGAAGCGGATTCCCAAAAGGAATTTTTGTAAAGGTAGAATATTGGGAGGGGAATCGCCGTGTTCCCAACGAAAATTCGTAGTGCTATAAATCCTTTTTCTGTACAATCGTCTTATTATTTTAGGTTGAATCAAATTCTGAAAAATGTAGATTTTTTAATACTGTGAATTTAAATGAGAATACTGAAACGAACATTCTTCTGAAAGACTTTTTTGATAGAAAATACACCAACAACAGTTACTCGATTGCCGGGAGAAACTCGATCACTAAGAATTCTGCAAGTATAAGAAAATTTAAATCTCGTTTCTGGGCTTTTGATTTAATTTAATTTGATTCAATCCCTTCACATTTACCAAATAAAAAAAACTGACCGATCGCAGTATAACTGCAAATGTCGTGGTAATTCGCCATGAGGAACATCTTCAGGATTTTCTTGTAATTTTAATGTTTGATAGTCGACACAAGAACATTTATCTGGCATTATATGGTATGGATCAACTGGGCACCGCTGCAGCTGATTTATTTGGTTGCTTAATATTTATATAATATATATTTATATAATATGGATGAGAAACAAATACAGACAAAAACGTATTTAAGATTTCATTAACCCTGCACAAGTTCTCGGCAAAGTGAATCCATCCAAACCGGGTTTCAGTTCAATGTTATTGATGGTATGACGACATGTCCGACACTGTAAAGTTATTTTAGTCGCTTTAGCTCGTACTTGTGAAGCAGCGACAATAATACCCGAAATTTTGACCATATGTGAAACTTGATTACTCTGCAAGATATTCATTCTGCCATTAATCAGCGGATAAATTTAATTTAAAAAACTAAAAGCACTAACCTTAATGTCACGTATACTTAAAGGAATATCACCCATTGTGAGAGTGACTTGTATATCGGGTATTTCATCTTTATCTTTGCCATCATAAGGTAATAATTCTTGCACAACTTGTTTGGCTGCTTCTTCTAGCTAAAAACACATTTTTTATAATAGCAAGCAACCATAATATAAATTCAATTCCAAAATGTAAAAATTTAACCATATTCATGAGAAAAATTAAGTGAAAAATTACGTTAAGAATTTATGTTTAAAATCAACAAGCTAAAACGAGGAAAACATTATTTGAATTAATAAAGAATACGGCGGGGAGAAATCTTGTAGGATAACGACGAAGTTTCATTGTTGCGCTTTCATCGAATCGTTTAAGATCATCCAATGATATTTCTAGGAAAAAATTTCCAACATTGTAATTTTTCATTAATTGTTCTCTATAATTTTTGTTTTTCATTATTTTACTTATTATTTATTATCATTCAATTATCATTATTTATCATTATCATTATTTCAATACAAATTTTTTTAATTAAATCGTTATTAATAATTATTATAAATCATTATCACTATTAAATGAAAAATTTTACCGGTAAATCATTGAAAAACCACCAGTACAAAATTCGCGAATAAAATTTCGAAAAACCGAAACAAGATTCTTATACTCGACAACCAATTCGTGCCCTACTGTTGTTTGATCATCATTCAGAAATATTCCTTCCTAATCGGTAATAATAATAATAAAAACAAAGAAAAACAAATAATTATAAGAAAAATAACAATTTAAAATTTTCTAGTTGTCGAAAAAGAAAAATTAAGAATTTTGGGTAAAAAGCAAAAATTAAAATAAATTAAAATAAATTCTCAAAATTACCTGATAATACAAAGGAGGTTGATCGAAACTCGTCATTCTAAACTTGAATTTAAACTACAAGATATTCGATAAACATGCAAATTTAGAGAAACTATTATAAATAGAAGTAAAATAATTGCAAAAAAGCATTATTTGAAGCATGAAAATCATATATAAAATTTTCCTCTAACAAAGCTTACCACTCTTGATTTGGTTAATTCTACTAACTACTAGGACAAGAACCTTTCACTACAGAGTCACTTAGAGATGAGAGTTCAATTCTCAGCAACGGCTATTTATTTTTAATAATAAATCTAATTCCGATTGATCTAAGGATGGAAAATATAATATTTGTCTTCAATCAAAGCAACAACTGAACTAACGTTAATATCGCTCTCTGCAAAAGCAATGTAATTCTTCTTCTCACCATTAGTGGCGAAGTAAGCTCTGCTGGCTACAAGAAGACAACTACTCGATCTGATGCCATTGCTGATGGCTAATAAAAGCCATTCCTTTTTCCACTGTCTAAGGCCATATATCATTGGTCTTCCTAAGCATCAAAATGCTTCCTCACTTTACCAGTCCAGGTCTTCAGCTCATTTCGCTTTTGACGCCCATTCATCATAGGGCTTAGCAGGTAATGAAATAGCAATTTCCTATCCTTGGAAACGAAGAAAATGACCAGCAAAGTTACCAGCGAAGCAACCATCTACGATGGTAGTGTTAATATAGATGGTATTGAATGAAAATGGATGCAATCAGATGTGAGATTTTAACCGCTCAACCGACCGCAAAATGTACTTTAGACATGGATGATCAAGGGCTTTTTAACCTCTTTTTATCATCCACTCTCATTGGCTATGTGTTACATATTCTTATTTTGCAGCCACATGCAAGGTCGAGCAAATTACAGCCATTTTGACGCAGACTTTCACCTTTATGGCAATTTCGCTATGGCTCCACAAACGGAAGAACAGCTCTACCTACCGTTATACAATTGTAATTTTATCTTTCGCTTGATGGCCTGGGATTAGAGTGGAAAAAAGCAGCTGCAAAATCGAGAAAACACGTGACGATGGGTTGCTGATATTTAAAGCTGTGTTCCAGCACCTTTCTTAGCGTGAATATGATCAGCGCTGCGTTCCGATCTGAATTCAACTTAGGCGTATCCTAACTCATCCTACCTAATGTCTCATACTGCCATAAGTTTATTCAACAGAAGAGGAACAAAAATTTTTCCAGGAGATGTCTAGAAGGCTGGTTCCTCGATAATTGTCATAATACGTCCTGTCATCTTTCTCAGGAATAGGAAGCAGAATTGCTTTTCTCTAGTAGAAAGCTCAATTGTTGAAGATGTGATAGATGAAGAGTTCAGCCCGAAGACCATTTTATTAGCCTTAAATTTCTGAATGATAGAGATTATTTTCCTCTTTTGTCGTAGTTGCAAATATGGTTCGATGAGCGAATCAAGTATTTCCGGGGCAACAGATGATGCATCATGGTTAACTTTGGCTTCAAAGAATTCATCCATTGCTATCAGCAACATTTCACTGATCATTCTCTGAGCTATAGTTGCTTCATAAAGAAGGCGGAATAGTTTCCTATTATTGCCAAATCGAGCCGCCGTCTCCATTCGCAAGTTTACCATTTTTCATTTTTACGTTCCCATATTACTGCAATAGATATTTCTGTCATGCCGTGCTATTGTCGTTATGATTTTTCGAAGCGTTTGTCATTGCCATTGTCATTATCGATTGTGATTGCCATTCATGCTTTTCAGACAGCTGGACAGTTGTTTCTCCCAAGCACATTTCACATTTCTTATTGGCATATCCTGGTATGAAACTAGCTGACTTTCGGGGACATTCCTTTGGGACTAGCATTCGTCTCCTCTTCCAGAAATGTCACTGATTTTCCTTTCAAAGAGGTGTTTCAATAATTCACGTTGCAATAACACTTATTGTCCACGAATGGGGATACAGCTAAAGGTGGGTTGTCCCCAGCAACCATCCGGATTTTTGCTATTATGGCAGCTTTACTCCTGTCAAAGACAAGGAGAAAGAGGTAAATTTGGGAAGCAAAAAATAGAAAAGTAGAAAATATTAAATTAAAGGGAAAACTTAAAAAAAACTCGTCGTGTGGTGTGTCCAAATAACGAAATAAGGCGATAAAAATTGCTTAGGAACCAACGATATTATGGATATAGGTCGTTGCCCCCACTCCGCCGAGAGTTTATTCTACTCGTGGACGGATTCCGCTGGCAGCGAAAATAAATTTTCAGGAATTGGACGGCGCCGGCCGCTCACCTAAATTTCTGTCGCCGAGCGACTCTCCCGCAGAAATCTGCGGCGCGGAAAGTAAGCGAGTCGAATCGGCGAATGGCGAGCGATCTTGGAAAAAATAAAGTTTCAGCAAGCAAAATATAAATGAATAAAAATGCATTAAAAATTATGAAATTGACCTTTAAAATTTCATCGGGAAAAATATGAAACTTAAACTTTGTTTAAATCGAAGTTTGTAATTACAAAAATCGCAGCAAAACAGCTAAATTTACGGATCAAAAATTTTAGAAATTTCTTAAATTTCTTAACTTCTTTTTCAATATTTATTTTTACAAAAAGCGAATTTTACCGCGTAATCGGCCGCCGCTGAATATGAAATCGTCAGACGCAGACTTCCAAATCCCTTGTCTGATTGTTGGTGGAAAATTGCAAATCGAGGGGCTGAATACGGAGTGTAATTTTGGGTGGTGGTGTGCTTGTTTGACTCTGACCTTGGCTCATATAAGTCATCGTTGGCTGAGTGAAAGGGAACCCATCGTCCAGAGGACTTTTCCACTTGTCCAAGGTTTAATCGGTGTGCCAAAGCAAGCATCTCAAATCCGCCACATGTCTAATATCGTGAACATCTGCGAGTGAACCGAACTGAAAGAGCTGAACAAAATGAACTAAATAAAAATTGTAGACAAAGATAAATTTTGCGGAATTGGAGATAGAAGTGCAAGTGGCTCACCAGCATACCCAGGCCATTGCAGGACGGGTTTATTTCTGCTGGGAGTAGAGCTCTAGCATTCATACCCAGAAATGAGAACAATAACCCACTTAGTTATTTCAGATTCCACGTGGTTTTTTTCCAAGCACGATTTTGACGTCGTTATTGTTGTCGAACTTTCAAGAACCTTCCAGGCCCATTTTTTTTTATTGATTCTTCTCATTCAACTATTTTTACAGGTCATTTTTACTCTTATTTGATAAAGGGCTGGATTATTATTAGTCTGCCCTTCCTTGTCGATCATGTTGTTTCTTCATTCCTAATTTATATAAGCTTTAATCTCCCATGAAAAAAAAATTCTTTATTTTATTTTTATCGCTGAAACATAAATTAGTGATAAAAGTTGAATATTTATTTGTACGGTTAAAAGTCATACTAAGGAGACACTTGACGACAGAAGCAATAGAATAGTTTAGTGGGGAGCTGCCACCGAAAATAAAGAATCGCTCGTATTTGAATCCGACCCATGCACCACTTTTTCTGGCTCACTGGCGCCAGCTCAGTTTAGAGCGTCAATGTTGAGGTTCTACGCTAGACGGGAGTGAATTTATTCTTCAAAAATGCAGTAGCTAACGCTGGCGGTGATTCCCGGGCAAAATTTGTTTGGTTTGGAAAGCCATGGAGCGAGTCTGACCAGCAATGGCCAGAATTTTAAAAAAAAAGTGCAGATACCAACTAACGCTGTGCAGACTTTTAAATGACATATTTATTCCTGTCGGACCAAGAACATTTACTTTACTATGCAAATTGATTATGCAATGAAATTTTTAAAAAAATTCAGTGGCTATTTAAATATTTTTCGGCCTTCTGATCCTCTTAAAAAATTTTTGATTCATTCATTTATTAAAACAAATTTAAGAAAAATTTTCTGTAAATTTGCAAATTATATTAGAAGTGCAAGTTGATAAAATTGAATTTGAAAATTTTCTAAATCGAATGAGGCGGAATAAAATAATGTACAAAAAAAGATTAAACCTATAACCTGCATTATTCTATAGAATAAACAATACGGAAAAAGATAATTTGGAGGATTGAAATCAGCTTTATCTTAGCCAACATTTCTTTCGCATTCTAATATTTCCACAATAAAATACATTTTCTTTTAATCGAAAAATTAAATTGTCAGCCGTAATATATATCAAATTATCGTGGGATGGAATGACCCATTGAGTTGGCAGCACCGATGCTGAAGTCTATTCTCCAAGGCAGTAAACCTATTCAAAAATCCGGGTGATGCTGGCGACTCACCTGTGCTTCTATCTTGAACCACAAGCCAGCGAGTCTAACAAGTAATGGTAAGGGCTCTTAAAAAAAATCAATGAATATCACACATTAAGTACATATTTTGGTGAACGAAATGTTTTTGAATCGTTCTCAAATTAAAAAAAAGGTGATGGTGGCGAGTGCCGTTCTTCGCAAAGCAGAGGAGTATAAAAGCTCCATGAATGCTAATAACCGATGGTGAAAATGTTTCACTGCTCAGTCTGGCAAAAACCACTCGTGGGAAATAGTTATCATTCTTATCAGGCATCGTTAATCCCCCATTTGTATCTACTGCTAACTTCAAATAACTAATAATTATTAGTAAATGCATCCAGCCAAATCAGAAATAGTTGTCAGAAGTCGCTGCCGTTCGAATGCGATAATACGTCGCTAACTCTTAGGAATCATCACAAAGAATTTGTTGAAGCCCAAAGAACAACCATAAAGGTGCGTGCACTCAACATCAAGATCTACTGATCTGAACTAAACTAAATGTTCATACAATAAACTGTACAAATTATGGTTAACTTAAATTCATATCTGGATAGACCAGTAATAAATCGAGTATAACACCATTCGTCCATGCAAATCCTTCTTGAATTTCATATTCACCACCACCACCATTGTAATCGTAGAGCACATTATACTAAAATTTTTTGGATATTTTCTTCATCAACGCTCAGGACAATTTACTTAAATATCGTTTGAAAATATTTATAAATGACCTACTGCCTTGGCTCTGCTTCTCATTTTCATAAGTTTCTATGAATTTCATTATATTTTTGAAATCCTTACGCTTAGTAATTGCTTAATATTATCTTAATATTAGAATTTTCACATTTTTTATCATATTTTATTTATCTTTTATTATTGAACACTAAAAATTTTTAATAATTTCTTTTTAAACTTGGATTTAAAATGTTATGAAAATGTAAAAAAACGCGAAGTTTTATAAAAATGCTATGAATTTATGAAATGAATCCAATAAAAAGGTAAAATAATATTTAAAATATTTTTTAAAATATTTATAATCTAAAATATTTTTTCTTAAATTTTTTTAAAATTAAAATTTTTTAAAATTCTTTCACTTCTTTATACAAAAAATTAAGTTTGGATGTGATATTTTCCTCTCTTACCTTTTCATACATTTGACCTCCAGAATTTTTCCACATTTTATAACTTTTTCGTATCCATTTTTCAGCGATCTGCTTGGCTAATTGAGTTTCACCATGGAACCGTAAACCTTGAATTAAAATCCATGTGGTAGGTGCCCATGCATTTGGAAAATCCCATTGTTCACCAGATTCCGTTAATGAGCACGGTAAACCACCCGGAAATATAAGTACACCACTTTTTGTTAAATAGTTTACAATTGATGATATATTAAATCCTGAAATAATTTTTAATAAAAAGATATGAATTTTTTTAATGAATTTTTTTCAAAAAAAATCTATGATAATTCTCATTTGCTAAAAGTACTTATTATTTTAAAATATGAGTTAAATTGGCTTTATTGTTATTTCCGAAGTTTTCGGCGTTTATTGAAATTTGTAAAAATTGACCATCATGAGCAGATTCAGTAAATAACGGAAAGAAGCTGGAATCCATATATGTTTTAATATGCTTCTTTGTTATTAAATCGTAATCAAACCAACAACCATCCTCTTCATTCCAAAATATCTGAAATAAATTCATTAATAATAGCCACTATTAAACAATTGCTCTTGGAAAAATCTGTGATGCTGAGGAACCATCTCTGTTTCTGTTCCCAAGCGGATCTCTGGCAAAAGGATATAGTAAACCTTCCGGAAATATAAGTACACCACTTTTTAGTTTACAATTGATAATATATTAAATCCTGAAATAATTTTTAATAAAAAGACATGAAAAAAGATAGCCTCTCATCCTAATAGCCAGTGGAACAAACTATGGTGAGTGCTAGCCGCTATTTTAAATAATCTTTATCTTTATATTAATCTTAATTATAAAACGAATGGTTAAGAAACAAGATCATAATTTTTTTGGTAAGAATTTTGGTAAAATGGTGAATTTACGAAGAAAAAAATAAATAATTTCAAAAAATAATTTCACTTATTCAATTTAATTTTTATTCAACTTAAAAAAAAGACTTGATGAATCGCTTTTCGCATATTTTCATATTTTTGCAGATAAATTTTCGAATTAATATCATCTTCTAGAATTTCATAAATATTCGCCATTAATTTCCAATTACCACAAATGATTGCATTTAAATCAATCGGAATTACTGAACTTGTTCTATAAAATTATACTATTTCGAATCCTAAATTCGAATTTTTCAAAAAAAATGTTAGAACTTAAAATCGGAAAAAAATGAACTGAATAATAACAGAACAGAATTAATAATTTACCCGGAACAATGAATTCAAATGGAAATAAAAATGTAGCCGATTCAATAGCACAATGAAAAATAACCTTATTGAAGCTATTTTGCCAGCTGAGGGCCCATTCGCTGAAAACCACCGAGAACTAAAATCTCGTCCACTTTCTGCTGCAGCAACTATTTCACCCCAAAAATGCTCTTTTTCTTCAGCTAAAATTTGTTTTTTGAAGATTTTATTCGCAAAAAAATTGCTGGAATATATTTGCTGAAAATTCTATTAAAAATTAGATAGTATAAAATAATGCAAAGATGACGAGACTAATGAATGCGAGAGCAAAAAAAATACGTTGAGAGAGCAAAAAAAATACGTTGTCATATGAAGAGAGCGTCACAGAAGCTGTCGTAAAAATTTTCAAAAAATTAAACAATTTTAGACTTGATTATAAAAAAAATTTCATAAAGAAAACAAACATTGTAGGAAATTCTGAGCAGAAAAAATATCCTCACGATAACTTTCGGGTCGAGGTGTTTTTACATTAACCTTATAACGAAATAGTGTTATATTAACATCTGATATATGAACCAATCTAAAAATCATTTCTCCTTTTTTTTATTCATAATTTAATCACCGAAACAATCAAGTTAATCAAGTTAATATGAGCACGATATTGCGAGTTCGATTATTATTTTCTAGGTAAACGCAAGCAAGCCTATCATTAAAATAAGAAATCCTCAAAAGTATTTCGGTACACAAGTGATTCTCTTTTCTGGTTGGACTAGATAGGCCCCGAAAGCTGTTAGAAATTTCTGCTAGTCATTTGGCAATAGATGCACAGTTAGATCAGTGGCATCACTCAGATTTCTTTAACTCCCTCAGGAGCAAAAGATTTTATTTCCCAACACAAATAATCTGGATCATCATGTACTCGACGATCCTATCCAATGTCCCAGTGCAAAATCACTACCACTCTCGTTAAATAATCAAATCATGATGAAAGAATTTTCGCATGATTTACCTTTTTTCTTGGAAGAATTTAATTTCTTTTTCGATCCATTTAATCGCTTTTTTTAAAAAATTGATGTCTTTGCTTATGTTATAATATAAATAGATACACCAAGTTAATATTGGCGGTTGTGAACGGTTTAAATAATATATACGATTCGCGTTAGGCATAAACCCATATCTATTAAGATTATTATATGTTTGCCTATCAGAGATTATAAATTATTAAAAACTTTTTGCTACAAATATTAATTATTGCATTAAGCCATTTCATTTAACCGTCAACATCAGTTTTCTCCAAAAAGAAAGCGATCTCGCGGTTAATAAAACCTTTGAAAGATTTAGAATGATACAATGATAATAACTGATAACCAGATGAAATGAACTTACCACGAACGCAACTAATTCGTTAAAGAAAATAGAATACAAGCATTAAATTTCAAAGAATACATTATTCTTTTCGAAATGATTAAAAATATTTGGAATAATAGATATTGAAAAAAAAACCAACTTATCAATCATATAACCAATATTTTCAATAATTCCACAAGCAGTCGAATACATTTTTGATGCAAGTAGACCTTTTATTATAAAAAAACTATCCCAATAATACATTTCACGAAATCTTCCACCAGGTATTACAAATATATTTGGTATATTTATTATCGAATAATTATATGGATAACTTTTTACATTTTTTGATACCTATAGCCATTATTTTTTTATATTTTAGTTTTATAAATTATATATATTAAAGCAGTTAAAGTTAAAGCAGTTAAAACAGCTAGAAATGCGTTTTCTTCCCGTTGACGAAACCTTTATATAGCCGTCGTGAAATTACCATTAAAACGAAAGTCCGCATCTATGTAGCCGTGATTCATTCGATCTTGCTATATGGCTGCGAGACAAGGCCAATGAGAGTGGAAGATATTAAGAAACTATTTACCTTTGACCACTCTTGTCTAAGGTACATTTTAGGGGTCCCTCGAGCGGATAAAATATCATATGATCGCATCCATCTTCCACTCTCATATTACTTCAAATATCACTTGCATTAATAATGCTATCACACCTTCGCTTTCGGTGGTTAGGGCACGTTCTCCGTCGTCCACCGCAGAAGTTGTCGGATATTTCGTTACTTGTTAAACCGTCTGATGGATGGCGCCAAAAGCGAGGTGGGCCAATCAAAACCTGGACTGATACGATCAGGAAAGAATTTTGAACATATAGGTGGACCAGCAATATGTGGACTTAGTCGATGGAAAAAGGAACGGTTTCTATTACTGTCGACGATGGCTTTAAACAGCGCCGCTTATCCTTGTAGCCGTTGGAGCCAGTCTAACCAATAATAATGAGAGCTGTCAGAAGAAGAAAGCAATTAATGTATTAAGTAATACTTAAAACTTTATCAACATAAAAGCGTTTATCAACCCAAATATTTGCCATTAAAAGCATTGACTACTTTTGGTTCCACTGGCTAGTGGAGTGAGAGTCCTTTACCAGAGAATCACATGAGGTTTATATGGATCCCCCGCATCATTTGGATTTCCAATAAAAGGGTACTCATATCAACGGACGAAATCATTCCTATGATGGATCAATTTTTGCCAAAGCAGCATTACTCGTATTTATTTACTTGTTTGTATATTTATCAATAAAACTACTTATTAACAAATTTTCACAAAAAATTTTTTGTCAATAGAAAGATAACCTTTCGACATAATTTCGGCCATTTTCGGTGTAATTCTTTCGCCCAAATTTGGTATTCTTTGCATTGTATTTTATCAAAAACAAAGTCGTTCTTATCAATATAATCATTTGGTATTGCACATTCCAAATCATTATTTAATTCGTCAAAATATGTTTTTATAAATTGCTTTATTTCTTCTTTCATTAAACGATTATTTTTCAATAATTCATTCCATTTATTTAATGTTATTTCTGTAATTTTTCATTTAAAAATTAAATTAAAAGAAATTATAATAAAATGATAAATATTATATTAATTTATTTATAATATTACTTCATTTTATTAGTCCATTCAAAAATGCGAATTTTTCTAGATTCAAAAATACTAAAAATAATTTTAAATTTTTTCTTCAATTTTTCTTTTTTTTTCAAAACTTTCTAAAAAGTTTTCTTAAAAGATAAATTTCACTCATATATCATAAAAAATATTAACAGAAAAGATAGAAAAGAAATAACAATGTGCTCAAGCATACCACAAATTAGCGATAATTCTCGCCATCTTATCAGTATTATCAGTTTAAATTCTTATATATTCTATAATAGCATCTTTAGACAAACCACGCTTAAAACGACTAGCGTACCTTTCTAACGGCGAATGCCAAATTAGAAGTTGATCGAAAAGAGAGCCGAACATTTTAACATCTGAACTCAACGTCGCCTTTTATAACTCTTTTATAAGACCTATGTGGCGCGAGATTTGTCGTCCTCTTATTGAGTGGTACGATAACAGCAAACGATGATTGGTAGTTAGTTGTAACTGCCCACCTGTTTATTAATAGTTCCAATTGCATTATAGACATAATTCCCCAAGTTAAATTAGGAAAAATAAAAAAGGTCGCAAAAAATACGAACCAGGATTATATCGAAGAGGTAAATCAACGAAATGTTTGCAGTCATTGAATATTTTAGATCGCTGCACATGGTCCAACAACGTACCATTACAATATATGAAAAATTTTAATTTTTCATATTTTTTTGTCAATTCTGTCAACGAATTGTGGCAGAAAATGGCAGAATTGACAAATTTTATATGAGAATAAGATAGAATTTTCTTGAAACTCTTCATTTTTTTTTCAATAAAAGAGATAAAAGTCAGAGAACTGTTCCACATGGAAAGAGCATTTTTTCAAGAAATTGATATAGTCAATGCCAAAATAATTTTAACGAGAATTCGATGAATTATCAGTAAATATAGTTTTGTTGACTTCTTTCCCTTCTTTCATAAAAATTTCGTAGAAAAATATGTATTAATACATAAAAAATATAAATCAAACAATAATGTGCATCCTATAAAGCATATTATATCATTTAATAAAATCCATTCAACGCTTTTAAGCATAAAACGAAACCGAATAAGTTGCTCGGATTCGAGCATCGACGATAGAATTTAAAACGGTCGATGCTGGCGATTCACCTGTATTTCTATCGCTAAATGACTCCTCTGCGAAATTCGTCCAGATCGACAAGCCGACGAGCCTAACCAGCGCTGGTGGGCACTCTTGGAAAAAAGGAATCGCATAAAGCAAAGGCAAAGGTGAGGATTAAACCAATCACCACGTTGGTTGTGAAAGTTCTTGAATCGTGAATTCAATCCGTATTTACATATCACGTATTTACACCAATTTGCTTTTACTTCACAGTTGCATTTCCTTTACACCTTTTTTAGCGTTTCATTGCTTGATTTTAATTATTTAGTAGATAAAACATACGTTTAATTACACAACTTTAACTCGTGAAAACTCTCGTCGCTACGAAATTATGTGCAAGTGCTGAATGTCGCATAATTTATGCTTTTTCCTTTTTCTACATCACTCACAACTTCCAATTAGGTTTGCTCAACTGGATAATAAGATGAGGTTTTAACCAGAGAGTTACTCGGCGATAGAAGTACGGGGGAGTAACACTCAGATTTTGACACCCTTACTCATGAAACCACGAATGATGCTACACGCTTGGTCATACCATGTTTTACAAGTATTAAATGTCACAATCCTATCCAAATATTCAATATTACGAAACTGTGGCAGACATTAAACTTTATGAATTTACGTGGAACTGTGTCGAAGTCCACACACGTATTATAACGTTACGTACAAGGATGATGAAACGGAAACACGTATCACGAGTTCGTATGAGATCGCGGCGAAATTCATGCACGTATTACGTGCGAGGAAGTTTAACATAAAAATATTTTAAAATTATAAAGATTAAATTTCGCAAAAAAACAAAATAAAAATAAAAAAATAAAAAATATACAAGTGAAGTGAAATTTAACAGAATTTCATTTTAAACTAATTTTACTAATTTTTATTATTTATATTCGAACAAATAATACGTGAATGAGTGAAAAAAAGATGTAATAAAAATAACTGAAATTTTTACAACGAAAACAATCGAATCATATTTTTATAGATAATTTTCCATCAAATTCAAATTCACGTGATTTTCACGGGATTTTTCATCTTAATAAATTCGCCATTTTGGCGAAAATCAAAAGAATCTCCATTACTTTCCCATAATTAATGAATATATAAAAAAGAATGGAAACATAAAGGCAGATAAACAGAAATATACTGATAAGGAGTGATAAAACAGTGATAAAATGATAAAATAACCGACTATGGCAAATAAAGTTTAAACGATAGACACTGCTCTTTTTTCAGCATATTATTTGTTCTAACATAAATTATAAAAACAAAGTTACTCACGTGACGCAGTAATAATAAAATTTTAGAAAACGAACAAGATTTAAATTATTGTCGGTCTTAAAACGAAAATCGACTATCGTATCCTTAGCTCAAGATATTTTGGTGTGGTACCAATTTGTATTGTGTTAGTGGATCTGGTTCATTTAATTTCTGTTTGCATCGTAAAGATCCTCAAATTGTGCATTTTAAATGTGATGTCTAAGGCGGATTTTTACCAATGTTCTAATTTATTTACATTACTTTTTATTCAGCATCTGTAAATTCTTCCCACGCCCCATTCCACATTTTTTTCAGTCATTTTCAGTCCGATTCACCGGCCGATGTTTATTGAAATTACAAAGCTTCTAATGATGAAAAGTGGGTGTTGGATAGATTAAATCACTCTATGTGATCTGCTTTTGTGATAGTAACAAAATTCTGAGTTCTCAACTTGCTTTTAAAGATAATGACGCACATCGGTCCAAAACATCTCACTCAGTACTCGCGGTGCTATCGCTGCTAGTGAGTCCATCTTTCGTCTAATTCTGCCAACTAATAAATATGGTCAAGTGCACCAACTCTTCTTTAACCGATGGTATTTATAAATCTACAATACAAGGCTAGTATTTACTAGTATGCAGTTTGTCATAAATCTAGCATATGTTGTAACTTTCAGCAAAAACTTTTGCATTATCAGTGCATCCAAAATCGGCGATACAACTCTGAACCGACTTGAGCGTGAATTTCTATAGAATTCAATTTTGTCAAGTTTTCAAATGGATTATTGAGACATTGTTGAATTTTTCTTTTGGGCGATGAAAAAGTCTTGGCATCTGTACAAAACCTAAACGAACTTAGCAAACTGATGATTACGATTCGAAAGATTTTTCTTACTATTTTAAATTATGAACGTCCATATACAATGAATACAATGAAAGGTGACGGATCAGTTGTTTTGTTACATGCGAATGATCGACGTTTTGTTGATAATAACTGTGATTCTCCAAATTTCTAAACGTTTTAATAGCCATATAGCCATAGTCGAGGTTGCATTTCTCTTTCTCATCTTTTTCTAATGTATTTATCTCTCCTTTAGAGCCTCTTGGATTAGACTCGAATAGTTATCGCTCAATTTGAGGTACAATATGTGCTGGAATAAGCTGATTTGCTATTTGGTTTATATTTGGTTTAGCATATTGGTTCTTTTTGTAAATTCATTGCCGGTTGAGGAAGTGCCTGATTTCAAATACCTTGGGTCCACTCTAATACCAAATGGACAGGCAAAATATGATACTATAACTCGGATCACGACAGATAGAAATGCGTTCTTCCGATTGACGAAATCTTTATGGAATCGTCGTGAAATCACCATAAAAAAGTCCGCATCTATATTGCCATGGTCCGTTCGATCTTACTGTATGGTTCTGAAACATGGCCAATGAGAGAATATTAAGGGTATTAAGAAACTATTTACCTTTGACCACTCTTGTCTACGGTACATTTTACGGGTTCCTAGAGCGGATAAAATATCATATGATCGCATCACCATCGTTCAAATACCACTTGCATAAATAATGTTATCACAGAGTGCCGCCTTCGCTGGTTAGGGCACATTCTTCATTCTTCGTCGTCCACCACAGGAGTTGATGCATATTTCGTTATTTGCTGTGTGATGGTTGGCGTCAAAAGCGAGGTAGGCCAATCAAGACCTGAATTGATACGGTCAGGAAGGATTTTGAACGTATAAATAGACCAGCAATATATGGACTTAGACGATGGAAAATGGAATGGCTTCCATTACTGTCGACGATGGCATCAGATCGCGCCGCTTGGAAGTGTCTTATCCTTGTAGCCGTTGGAGCCAGCTTAACCAGTAATGGTGAGAAAAGAAGAAGAAGAAGCATATTGGTTCATTTTTTTTTTTTATTTATTAGTGGATGATAGTTGAATAACGCAGCTGAGTTTTACTTTCTAAAGATAGATTTACTCCTATCAAAAAAAAGAAACTTTTGATTTCATAATTAAAAAATTAAAAAAATACGATATCATTATGGAATTTTTGGTAACATAGAAAGAATGAATAATAGAGGGAAGAAAGGGGAGGGGTGAGTTCTTTAACGATTTAAACCAGTGTCAGTTTAATTTGGTTCGCGTTTCTTAGATTATTTTTGTAAACAAAATCACTTTTTGGTATAGCCTTTTTTTTAATAGTACCATTACCGGTTACAAACGCTCCGCTGGCTTTTCACACCAGGCAAATAAGCCTAATGTTTGCTCTCACTGGGTACCAAAAAGTGTTGAAAATTTCGTTGTTTTCATAAATGGTTGTAATGGCTATCGCTATTAAATATTTTTTTTCATCGAATTCAGAGGTATATATTGCAAGACGATTTCAAACGACATTTAATTCCGTACAGTTCAATGCACTACAGTTTTTCACGAAACATTGAATAACAAAAAATGTTGTGAATGGCATTAAGCAGAGGTTTTAAAATGGGCCATGAAGACTGTGCTTAAAGTAGAATAATAGGGAATTTACAAGTAAAAGAAAATTTCAGGAAATGAAAATACAATTCACCTAATCTTTCTTAGATAAATGACTATAAATAACATAAATAAAATTAAAAAATTTCAAAAAATTGCCAAGTGAAAAATTTCGATGAAAATTATCGTGAAATATTTTGACGAAAGCGAATCGAAGCTTAGAAAAAGGGAAATTTATGAAAATGGATTAATTTTACATAATTTATGTTAAATGAATATTGGGGACAGAATGGCTCAGTGGGTTGTAGCTCAATTGGGAGCGCCGATGTTGAGGCTGGATTCCTTGCAGGAGTAAACCTGCACAAAAATCCTGGCGACTCACCTGTATTTCTATCGCCTAGGGATGGCATTTTGCTTAATGCGTCATGGAGCGCGTTTAACCAGTAATGGTGAGGACTCTTTAAAAAAAATGTTAAATGAATAATGCATGAATAAATTTCAATATTTAATACTTCAAAATTTTTAATTTAAAAAATTCATCAAAGATATTGATAAAAACTGTTGCATTAGAAGTATAAGTGGCTTGCCAGCATCACTCGAATTTTTGAAAGATTTCAGAAGGTTTATTCTTTTCCAGCCTTAGAAAAAAAAGCATAGCACAAGCATAAAACAACACTCCAGCACCGTGGAAAAAAGAATATGCAAGAGCAAACCAATCCATAAAAAATCCAAAAATCCTGGTGGTGCTTAGAATCTACCCACATTTATATTTTAAAACTTAGATTAGTCAATCTTACAGATATTAATTTTAAATATGCCAACTGCTGAAAATCAGCAGCCATGAGAATACGCGCAATAGACTGATCAACAGTTGAAGGGGTTATTGTAGAATAGGGATTTTTGGATTGAAAATGGTTTAATGAAGATTCTCTTGCTTCTTTATTTTATTTTTGACTTTATTTTATTTTATCTCCTTTTAATATTCTACAACTAATATGGGAGCAGATAGCCGAATAGCTCAAACAACTACTGCAAGCGTTAAGATTCTCCAACAGGAGTAAACCAATAAAAGGATCCGTGTGTACTGCGGACCACTTGTGTTCCCATCGTCGCCAGGTGAATCTTTGGAAACTTATAAATTTATCTGAAATTTATCTGAATTTATTTATTTATGATAAATTCAAATTTATTTATCTGAATTTATTTAAATATATTTATCTTTAAATTTAATTTAAACTTATCTTTAAATTTATCTGAAAATTAAATTTTTCTCGAGCCTAATCGGAAAAGATGGGCACTCTAAGGAAAAAAGAGGGATACGGTGGATGGGCCATATACTCTCTTGGTTAACGATTAACAGAGCTTCGATAGCTATCCTTTACTATCCTTTAAGAGGATTAAATCTTGATAGCCTCGTGGCTGTTAGAGAGACACGTGCCTCTCAAATCAAATCATAACATGGCTCGTTTATCAACGATCACAAATAACGCGTGCGTGAGTCTCATCTAAGAGACCAATCACTTTGGCCCAATTTGGCTCATCATATTAAAAACATTTTCTATAAGTTTTGTAGGTTTTAAATTATGAATTTAATCAATATTCCGTAACCGGTTTGCTCCATTTCGTTTGCACCATTTTATTATATTTTATATCTTTTCAGCGTTCTATTTCTTTCTAATAATTTAATAAAAGGTTTAATAAAGGTTTACACAACTTTAAGTGATAACGCCACATATATCGGTGTTATTGTTGCTGAGCCAAATTCACAAGAAGAAATTACCAAATGCACTCACAACTCACCGTTTCTAGTTGGCCTTTCTACTCGCCATTAGAAGCAATTATTTTGGTATAGAGATGAAACCAAAGAGTCCTGATTTCCCGGGTTTTCGAAAACATCTTTCATTCCTGCGGACCTAGTGTCCAGCTCGACACTCGGTATTCGACAACAACAGCAACCATCCGCAGTGCCGTACCTCATGAGTTTTATTTATATAATGTGTATGCGAAATATTTTATTTCATGTCAGTATTACAAAGATGCGTGTAGACGTTAAGCGTTATGAAATGGCGTGAAGTTGTGGCGAAATTCGTATAATTCGTGTTACGACGTTACGTGCGAGTTTTACGAAAGTTCAACGTAAAAATATTGAAAAATTATAGAAAACAAATTCCGCAAAAAAAGTTGAAAAATAAAAAGTATATAATTGAAATGGAAAAAATTGAAAATGAAAAAGTTAATACAAATGAATTTCATTAAAACTAATAAAAAATAAAAAGAAATTCTTACAACAAAAATAATCGAAGTTTATTTTTTATAGTTTATTATTTATCAAATTCAAATTCACGTGATTTTCTCGGGATTATTCACCTTAATAAATTCGTTATTTTAGCAAAAAATTAAGAGAATCTCCGTTATTTTCCCATAATTAATGAACATATAAAAAGGATGGAAACATAATGGCAGATAAACAGAGATATATTGATGAGTGATAAAATGATAAATGATAACCGACTATAGCAAATAAGTTCACTAGTTCAGGTACACTAACGATTTCTTCTTTTAATTCAGCCATGTACTATTAGTTTCAACGTAATTAATCAAAAGGAAAATTCGGTAACGGAACAAGAAATGGAATTTAGACTAACACAGGTCTTAAAACGAAAATCTGCTATCGTATACCTATCTTAAGAAATTTTTTAAATGTCGATAACTTTCGCAATGTGTTTAAAGTTATTTGTGTTGGGTGTAATTGTTGTTTCAGGTTTATAGAGTAGGGTGGGTCGTCTATTATTGAGCATTTAGACTGCTAAAGTTCCAAGTGGTGATATTTTAGTGGCGACGTGGCGCAAGTTTCGGTGATAAGCCTGATAAGAACAATATGATAAAAGTGATGAGTGATATAAAGGTGAATTTTGGGAAAGAAAGTTGGAAAGGTTCTTTTCAACTAAAATGTTGCATTTAATGGGCGAAAAGATTAAAATTTCCAAGTTTTCCTTTCCAATCAATTTTTAGGAATATTTTGAAGTAAAATTAAATCTGAACAATTTAATTTGAAATGTAAAAAAAGTAGCAAAAAAGAATAAAATGTTGAAAGGCAAAAGAATATTTATAGAGTTAATTAAATTTCTTCCTTTTCTTACGTATTTGTTGTTCAGTCTTTTTTTGCTTAAACCAGTTAGTGCTTTCAGGTAAAAAGATTTCGGGAAATTATTCCATCTCGGCAAAAAAAAATTATATTGGGAATTTTCGTAATGATTTATTAAACTGGTATGCGGTGGTTTTTTGTTTATTTATTTTTTCTTATTTACTTATTTGAAAAAACACTCTCTATTTAGTTTTTATTTCCCATTTTGAAAATTTAAAGTTTTTTCAAAAAAGGGGAAAAGAAAACTATTTAAAGGTTAACTGCAGCTGATTAATCAGAAAATTATCATTTTCCATGATAAAATAATTATGATGATAAATTGATGACGTATATGGTCCAAAAAAATTGGAATTTATCTATTTTCATTAATTTAATGAAATGAAAAAAATTAAAGAGTGGAAGTATTTAATGGAAAACTCGAATAAAAATGCATCGGATTTAACGAGCAATGGAAATTCAACATTTCTCACTGATGAAGGAAAGAAAATTAAAGATGTTTGCGTTGAAGTAAAAAAAATTGATTGTTTAAATTATTTGATTATCAACTTTTATTTTTGAATCATTCATTAATTTTTTTTAATTAAACGGCAATTTTTGAGTAGATATATCGCAATGTTATGTACACATTCCCAGATCTGGAGTTAGCGTAACTTAGATTTGTGGCGAATGAGAATCGATATTTTCCTGAAATTGTCGTTAAATATTTTGTCAGATTGGCTGGTTATTTCCATACAGATAATAATGCACATACGAAAATTGAACTTTCCCTCAAATTAAAAAATTTTATCTTTGCACTAATGTTTTAATTATTTTTTGGTGATAATTTCACAGATTTTAGTAAATTGTTTCATTTATTATTATTGAGATTAATTTCGAGTTGCTTTTATAAATCTCAGTTTTTTTACAGCCATTGAACATAGTAAATTCGGTATCAATGTATTCAGTTCATAGTTTAGATGATTCTGATTTCCGATTGATGTTATCGAATGCTGCAAAACCACAATATCATGGACGTTTCGGAAATAAGAAAGTTTGTTTTCTATTATAAATCTGATACTTTTATTCATTTTATTGAAGATTTATCATTTTTCTAGAATTTTTCTTTTTCTGGCATAACATATTTATATCTAAATTTCTTTCAAGGAAATTCTGGTGATTTATGATTAAACATTGGAAAATTTCCATTGGTTCTTTTTATCTTTTTAATCATTTTTTTTGTGTTTTGAATTTGAAATCTTCCTTGTTGTAAGATTTTATTTCTATTTAAAAGCGAATATTTTTATAAGAAATTATTTAGTTTTTCTAGTTCACATTCCATTTTCCTTTTTATTCTTATTTTTCATTTCATGATGACATTTTGAATGAACTGATTTTCAGAAAAAGAAAATATAAAATAAGTCAACTTTTTTTTATTCGAAATTTTTGGTTCTTTTTCATTTTATTAAATTTTTTTGTAGAAATCTATGATACCGCGAATGTATAATACTAGGCGTTTAAGTTATAATGATGAAGAGAAATTATCAGAAGAAGCGGACAAGCTTCTAGAGGAATTTCGTCGTGAAGCTGAAGAAAACCAAAGAAAAGTTGATATTGGTATGTAATTTTATGCTATTATTATTTTTCCAAATTAGATCAAAATTTTTCGAAACTTTCGTGAAAAAAATTTCAAAATTATTTTATATTTGTTTATATTTGATTTTAATATTTTATTTAATTCATCATTTAAACATTAGAAATACTACAAAAATATGCAAAAAATAAAATTTCAAATTAACGTGGAAAGATATTTTTGTCGATCTACTCCTTGGTCCTGAAATTTTCTCAAAAATTTTGAATTTTAAATGTAACCATCAAGTATTGTAACTATCTTGTGTCATAAATATAAGTGTAATGTAAGTGAAATATAAGTATAATTTTTAATATAATTCACAAATATTTCTTTCTTTATTTTTTTTTTGTTTAATTGATTTAACATTTTATTATTTAATGAATTTCGAAATTATTAGATCGTAAATTCTTATTTAACATAGAAAAGAACCGAAATTCCAAAAATTTTCTAGCTGTGTTTGATGAGTATAGATTTTTTAAAAGAATTTTTAAAAGATTTTTAAAAATTTAATTTTAAAAATTTTTGAAGACTCACCGAGGGGAAAATTTCTTCCTGGTGGCAAAACTACATTAGGTTTATCAAAGGCACTTCCCAAGCCTGTAAGTTGATGTACATATTTGCATTAAAACTATTATAAATTTTTATAAGTTGAATATTTTTTCGTTAAATGATTTTGTATTGATAAGAAAGAAAACATGATTCGATTTCATAAAATTCTATAAAATAATGCGGATGAAAGAAAAATATCTATGATAATATAATAAATGCTTGTATATTGTTTTTATACGTTTTTGCATATATTTATATCATTTTAAGAATTTTATTTAAAAAATCCCTAAAATGGAACACAAACACAAAACCTTTTTTTCGATTGCACAGATCCTTAGAGCATGTTCTGCAAAATTTGCCGGCAATGTTTGATAAATCACATGTCGGTGTGCATCCTTTTTTTAGCGCTATTTAAATGTTTTTTTATCTTTTAATTATTGCGTATATTTGCAATGAACAATGAGATTTTTTAAAAATGATTCATATTATTTAATGTTGTAGAAGAATTCGTAGCGTGAGAGAGATCTTTCCGGTTAGAATATTTATGTTGTCAGCTGATGAAGAAATTATCATCGCTTTTACAAATATTTGTACGTTAATCAGTCTTTTAAATTGTGATAGTTTAGAATTATCTTTTTTTAATAAAAATTAAATTTGGAATTTTATTTTTTATTTTATGAAGTTATAAAGTAGCGTTATTTTATGTAAAATATTTTTTTTTAATTCTTTTTTGATGTAGTTTATTTTTGCTTAAGCTTAAATATTCGATATAAATTAATTTTAATTTGTAACTATTAATTTCCTTTGAAACGATAATTTATAATTCTGGAAATCTGAGAAAAGAGAAAATATATGAATATATATATATATATATGATAAATTTGAAATAAGTAAATAAACCAACCAACTTGTGTTGAATCGTAAGTGTCGGCAACCGTAAAGCATTCATCATTACGTGCACATTCTTTTATTATTGCGTTTGATTTGCATTCATTTTTTGTATTGCAGTGATAGCATTGTAAACTATTACCTTAAAATTCTTTTTATTTTTTCAAAGATTTTGTTTAAAATTTGTAAATAATTTTTTAAATAAATGAAAAAAGATTAATTCCGTTTTTTTGAGGGATTTTATTTTTTTCTGGATAATTCTTAAGTTAGAAAATTCCCAAGTATTTTATTCCATAGGCTATTAGTCTTATCTTTTTTGCAATTTTCTCCCACAGTGTATTTTTTATATTCTCTTATATTCTTTATTTTTTCGAGAAAAAATAGTAAGAAATATGTGCATAATAGGTCAAGAACCACTGCTTTAAAAATTTAAAGTTTTTAAATAAAGTTTTTCTTATTTTAATTTTAATATTTGGAGAATATATGAAACAAACCAATTTGTAAAAATATTGCAATTTGCATAATATGTTTAAGCATATCGTTATTTTTTTTCGATTATTTCCTTTAATATTTATTAATTAATAAATATTTTAAAGAAGCTTCTCAGATATTTTCTTTAGATAAAGACAGTCATATTGGAATTTCGCTAAATATAATAAACTAAGATCGATAAATTAAAAAATAAGTAAAATTGATTCCAACAAAATTGTTTCCACGAAAATTTATTCGTTTCGCATGAGCGGCGCTTTGCGGCGCTTGTCAATAATAAAAATTTCTAAAAAATTTTTTGAAAATATTTTAAAATAATAATATAGTTGTTTTTATTGTTTTCTTCATAGTAATTTAGTTATTTTCATGAATTTTTATTTTAATTTATTTTCACATTTTTTTATAAATCTTTTTTCTTTTTATTTAATTATTTCCATAAAATATTAATTTTTGAATAAAATTTATATGAATTTCAGAATCAGAAAGGAAACATGGCATAGTTCGCGCATTTATCAAAGAAATTTCGCAAGAGATTATTTCGAATCAGTATGGGACGCCATTAATTAATAATAACAATAGTAATAGCAATAACATTGTTATTAATAACGATGAAAGTAATGAGAAAACGAACAAAAAGAAACGCTTGGTTTGTTTGTTTGAAGATTTAAAATTTATAAGAAATCGATAAAAAACTTTTTAGTTTAAAGCACTAATTTAATAGACTAAATTTTTAAAAAGTGTAAAATATTGCATGAAATATTTTATGAATTTATCGGAAAATATTATTAATGGTAAAGTTGTTGGATTTTTTTCGCATTTCCAAATATATTTAATCATTGCAGTGTAGTTTTTGACTCCTAGCATCTTAGAATCTTATCTGCGTATTCTTAACTGTTTTTATAGCTTTTCTATTTTTATAAAACTTTTTACCAATGCTTTTAATTAATTAATTACAAAAGTTGCAGACTTTTCAATTATTAGCTAATTATTTATTGATGAATATTCTACGTAAACCTCTTATATAAGTTCTTATTTGGTAAATTTTGTTCAGTATTGCTTTGTGAAAATACAAATAAGAGGAGACCTTAAATAAAGAATAAGGAGACCTTTTTCTATAAAAAATTAGTTTCAATTACGAAAAATCAGTTTGAAGTTTCAGGTAGATAATTCAGTTGAAATATTAATAAAAGATGAATTATTAAATGGTGGTCGTGATAAATGGAGAAGATCAAATGAAACAATTAAAACTGGAAAGTAATAATCTGTGATAATAGTTGATTTAATAACGATCAATTAATGATAATAACTAATAATGTATTTACAATAATATTAAAATAAATAATCATAATGGTTGAATTAAATTAAATATAGGAAAGTTTTACTGATTTATAGTGTTTTTTAATCTCTAATTTTAAAGATCCATTTCTCAATTTATTCGCTTCAAAATTTCCTGAAATACAAATTTAGTAACACAAATGAATCGTATGAAATCGTTTCAAATAATAATGCAAATATCGCCTATATTGATGAGGAAGAATGCGTGGATGGCGCCAATTTGTTAGTTTTAAATTAATTATTAGTTTTTTTAAGAAAATTTCCACTGAGTTTGTAATAAAATAACGAATAGAAGGCAGCATTAGGGAATCACAAGAAGTAAAAAACTTAAAAGAAGGATCCGAATGGACGAATCTTTGTGAACGGCAAGAAATTGCAGATAATAATAAAATGCGAATGTATATATATATATACATATATATATAATTCATATTTGCGAACGTATTGTCAATATTTACGAAGAAATTTATTAATATTTACAAGATTTATATTTCTCTATATAATCAAAATTATGTTTAAAATAATTTCCAAATTATAGAAGTAGTGGTGCTAGTTTCGTGATAAATGACTTTAATAATAGAATGCGAATGCCCAACAGCGACCGGTACAATAAACTATATGTTCAGGGAAATGTTGTTCAAGAAGTTTGTTCATTTTTTTTTTTAAATGAATAATTATTGTGTAGACAGATTGATTATTTTGGGAGTAAAATTGGTAGATAGTTTGATAAGAAAGAACTCTACGGATAATTTTTAAAGATATTTTGATTTTTTAATTTCCTAATTAATTTTATGAAAAATCAATTATTCATTATCAAATAATCAATTAATTAGGATTTCAGATGCATGCATTAAATGATAACAATGAATGGAATGAATCAGATAAAAATTATTGGAATGTTAACAAAAATCCTACTGGTTATTATCGTAATAATTTCTCCAAAGGAAATTCGAATTATGATGATGTTCGTGCTTTTTCCTTACTGATAAAATTTGCTAATCACAGATTTTTTGCGTAACAACTTTTTAATTTTTAGAATTCATTTAAATACACATCTGGAGAATTACATTTATATGGAAACAAACATGGTAAGTACGAAATAATAAAATCACCGAAATCATTTTATTTTAATTTTCAAAGTAATAATAATATTGATAATGATGCTGGCCTAACTAGTGGAAGATCAGTTAATCATCCCACAGGTAATTTCTTATTTTTTCACTCAATAAAATCGTTTCATTATGATCTTTTTCATTTTCCCTCCATATTTTGACCCTTATCAAATAAAATTCCGCTTAAATTAGCATTGGTGTTTTGGATATTTCAAATTAAAAAAATCCATTGATCCATTGATCTGTTCTGATCTGTTGATCTGGAAAAAAGAATTTTTGTATTGATTCGTTTAACGATTGCTATTTGTTATATGAAATTGCGTTAGTTTTTTTGAATTAAGTTTGTTGAAACTTTTTATAAATTTTTACTTAATTGAACATAGATAATTTTCAAAAATTCTTGAAAAATCAAAAGTAAAAGTCTATTTTTTCTTTTATAGAAAAATTTCTTGAGCCGTACGAAGAATCCAAAATAAATAAAGAAGAAGAAATTGGTAACAGTGACGAAAGAAAAGAAGTTGAGGATGAAATTATTCCGACAAATGAAATTTCGTTTAATAAGTCGAACATATATTTTACACAAAATTATTTACAGCCAGTTCAAAACACAAAATTGGTTTGTTTTAATTTCTCTTTTAGGGGGCGAGCCCGAGTTTATCTTTTTCATAAATTATATTTTCATAAATTATATTGTAATTTTAATTTTTGAAAATGAACTAAAATAGACGCGATAACTGAATTATTTTTTTGAATTAAACCAAATTATTTGGAGTAGTTTGAAAGTGCGAATTTAAAAGTGATAGCCACGTAAAAAGTCGCTGCCTTGGACTCAGCTTTACCTACTTTGATAAAGAGTTTTCACCCTAGAAGTCAACCAGAGAGTGCATGCTTTTAGAAGAAAAAAAATGAGTTTTTTGATGAAAGCAAATATTGGTTTTCATTCGTTCAGTCACTCTTAATTTGTTGAATTATAGTTTAGTGTATAGTTTATAATGTTATTTAGTATTATTTCAGTAATTTTATTTTACTTTATTATTTACTTTACTTTATTGAGGTGTTCAGTATTTTTAAAAATTTAGATAGGAACATTATTTTTAATGAACGAATATGGAAAACTAGGGGTATTTAATTCAAACCAGATTTTTTTATAATTTTCCTTTCTATTCCAGTTTTTTTCTTAGCTGAGAATGCTTTTGATTAACTTTCTCATTAATTTTAAAGAATTTCGAAATCGAAAAAAATTTTTCCAAAAAAAAGGTTAAATGTGACGACAAGTTGTCCTTTTGCTGATTCATGTTTATATTTATTTTCGGAAACTTTTTATCATTAAATTTTAATCTTACATTTTTAAAAATTTTTCAATTTTTCGTCGACCGAAGGTAAAATTTCCGATAATTTAGAAAATAACGGAAACTATTTAAAAACCTCCATAATCAAATATTTCTTAATAAAAAAAATTTCATTAGATTTATTAAAATCTATTTTTAACAAATTTTATTGATTATTGATCAATTTGTTTATCACTTTTTATTTCGTTAAAATCACTCGCAATTTTGAAATCTATAAAAATTTTTTGTGTCTGTTAATTTCCACAAAAAAAAGTTTAGTTTTTGGTTTTTTGGAATTTCTTTGGAAACATCCTCAATTCCCTTCATATGGTCTCCACTAATTTACATTAGAACCTTGTAACATTGCCATATTCGTAATCACTATTATAGTCACAATACTTATTGTAATTAAAATGAAATTTAAAAATATAAAAGTTAAAAGGGAATTAAGGAGTTAGTCTCCCTGTGAATGTTGGTTGCTCCTTTCTTTTTTTCTGAATAAAGGGTCGCTATTTGTAGCTTACAAATTTGAATGTATATGTGGTAGAGGTAATATTTATTGAAATATTTTTTATGGATGTGATCTTTTCCTACTTTCTGTCTTTGATTTGTTTATATCATTCCATTTGAGTGCGATTTTCAATGTAAGCACGGCCTCTTAGAATTTATTAAAACGCTTTAGCATTCTTCCTTGATCCCCGTTATTTCCAGAAAACAGCTGAAAAGTAAGTAATTTGGCATATTAAATCACTTAAATCACATTAGATTTTTTTTCTAATTTAGGTGTTAATTTTATCAACTCTAATTTTGTATGATCTGAAATGTGGTTGTCGTCCTTACCTTTCCATCGCTGTCGAATTTCACTTTGTATTTCGTCCCCTTTTTGTTTTTTAGTTGAAATGGCGAGTCGTGTTTCATTAAGATATGCCATCTAAACCATGAATTTTTTTCTAAGAATTCTCACCATATTTGGTTAGGTTAGCTCCACTGGTTTGTTAGATCAGAGGAACTTTGCCAAGGAGTCATGGCGATAGAAGTACTGGTAAGTCGCTAAGATTTTTTTTTGTCTGGAAGAAGACTCCGACATCGATAGTGTGGCGCCCAACATCGAAATAGGATCAGCAGCTCATTAAGCCATTCCACCTCCCTTAGCTTTCTAAATGAATTTGTGAATAATTGGATATTTGAAAAATGCGATTTTTAAATTTATAGTGTTTTTTTAAAATTTTTTTCGTAGAACTTTAAATATTTTAAGTTTTTGCATTTTTTTGGTCCATCTTATGCTATTGAAAAATTTTAGTCGCCTTTGAAGAACACTGACAATTTGACAGTGAAGGCAGAATCGCCATCGATGACGCAGGTCAGTGACTTTAAATTATATTAGTTGGATGAAATTTTGTTAGATTTTGTTTTAATTTTATAGGCTTCAAAGGTATCTGGGCAGAAGAAACGGGAAAAAGCGAAATCAGGAAAAGAATACAAAAGTGTTTATTTGGCTGAATCCGCTGAAGGTTTTCTATTCAATTTTTTTATTTTATTCTTTCATTGCATAGAATTTACCTTCTTTCATAGTAATTTTCTATAGATCTTATGGCAAATTGAAAATTCTTTGATTTGTGAGTAATTTAATGAGACGGCAAAAAAATAATTTCTGTAAATCTTGGTTTCATCGCCAATTTCGAAAAGAACCATTTTTTTCCTAGATTCTCTGGATTTTTCATGCCTAAATTTATAAAGTTATAGGATATATGGGAAATCTTTCACCCGATGAAATTTTGAAATGTATTGAAGGTGAAAGTCAAGCTAGGACTAAAACGAGTCAAAGAAAGGTAGATTATTAAAATATCAAATAGCCGGAAAAAAATTTCAAATCACTTTAAGCAGTCTTCAATTTAAAATTTTTTGGCTTTTTTTATTTTTTATTAATTTTTTTAAACTCACATTAAGGATAAAGCGAAAGATTCAACAACAAAAATTGCAAGTGGAAAGAAAAAGGATAAACGGCAGAATCTTAATGGAAAAGTAAGTAACAAATAAATAAATGGTTTGCTTATCATTTCCTGTTTTGCATTGGAGGCATTTAAAATTTTTTGGCTTTTTTTATTTTTAAAATAGGAATGGCTGAAAATAGGAAGAGAAGTGAAGTCTAAGGTTATCCTGCCAGGAGCAAGAATCAAATCTTCGGCTTTAAAGTTCATTTTGCATAAGAAGAATTCTTTATTTTGGATTTCATGAATATTTTTTATTCCAAATTCCAAAAATAAAGAATATTCATGATTATGATATTTTTTAGACATCACCTAAAGAAATTGTTAATCCACAGTTGCAATCATCTGAAGAATTGTCGCTGAACATGAATGATGCGAAGCAAGTTGAAACAATTTCTGAAGAAATTTTGACTGATGCGAAAGAAGATAAAATAATTTCTGAAGAAATTTTACCATCTATAAAAACAGTTTAGTGGCAGTATTGAGTTCTTTTCTTTAATTTTGGACATAATTCGTAAAAATTATGGTCTAGCTCAAAAATAAAATAATTAGCATTCTATCTTTACTTATTCTAATAAGATAAGGCAACTTTACTAAGGAATCGCTAGAAATAGAAATGAATGTGAGTGGCCAGCTGGTTTTGTGAGAAATTCATTCTTAGAGGCAGTGACAAAATCATGATGTTTGATGCTATTTTAGACAGTAAATTTTTAACTGCAGTGCTCCCTAGTGCAATAACTACGCGCTTTTACATTTTAATCAGTAAATTGTTCTTAATATAGTAATTTCATTAGTGTTCTTGTGGATTAATATAGTTCATATTAATAACGAAAATTGCTATTATTATATAATAGTGTAATTTTTTGAAGTTTTATTTAGAGTGGAGAAGCTATTAACACTTATGAAGAGAAATCCTTGGCAAAAAATGAATTATACAAAAAATCTGTTGTCGAAGAAATTGAGGAAGAATATCTAAGTGCAGATGAAGGAATTGAAACAATTTCGGTGTGATTTCTTTTTTCATATACTTTTTTCTTATTTTTTTTCTGATAATTATCAGATTTATTTACGTAAATAAATTTTTTAGGAGAAGGATACGTGCTCATTAATGAAATCGGATGGAAAAGTAGCCCTTACACATTTTAAAGGAGGTATTTTGCATTTAACCAAAAGCGATTACGAGAAACTATTAGAAGAAAAGCATCCGATTGAGGAACAGTTGGAAATCGAAAGAGAAATTCGAAAAAAAGTTCAGGTCGAAGAAGCTGAATTTATTGAAGTTACTCGGAAAAAAAAAATACCTTCCGTAGAAAAAAAAGCTCTTTCAAGGTTATCTTGGTTCTGTGGTTTATTTTTATGAGCAAAATTTTTATCTTTATTAATTTTCGTCTTTTTTAGTGTTCAGAAACTTCGCGGAACGTCACACCGTATTTCTGGAAATATTGCATCGAATCGACGTGGTTCAGCTCAGCTATATACAGAATCCATTAATAATAAAAATCAAAGATATAAAGTATGAATTTCTTAGATTATACGGTTATCCTGTTAGGTTTTTGATCGAAATGAATGATGGAAAATAATTCGTTTTTAATTGCTTAACAAATTTTCCTGATTAAATGATAGCTTTTAAAGAGAATGGCATTATTAAATATATAAAAGGCATTACAAGAATCTGATAAAAAATATGAAAATGGTTTCCGACTTTTATAGATTTTAAAACGGTCAAAAAAATCTCATTTTTCATTTCCATGAAAAAATGCTACAAAATGTGACAGAATGTGGAGATAGCAAAAATAGAAAATAGAAACATTATTGAAATAAAGAAAGTTCTTTTAATTAGTCGAAAAATTTTCCTAATCAAATGATAGCTACTAAAAAACGCATTATTAAATATTTAAAAGGCATTAAACAAGAATCTGAATGTAAAAAGTTCTCGATTCGGTTCTTTTTTATCCGAGTTTTATGTCTTAAATGGCTTACATGATAGTTTAAAGAGAATGCATTGTGAAACGTTATATAATGTGAACCTAACGAAAATCGTGGAGGCAGTTTTATACGAGTTTTATAGAATATATGATAGCTATTAAAAAGACTGCACTGTGAAATATTTTGTAAGCATTATAAAAATATATGAATCTGGAAAATAAGACGGTATTATCCGATTTTTATGGTTTGAATGATGGGTGTTAAAGAGGATTTCTTGTCAAATATTTGGGTAAAATTGCAAGGACCTGACAAAAATCAAGGAAATCATGGAAAAATCATGAAAAAAATCCTGTTTTATGAAATTTAAAATATTTCTAATCAACCAGAAATAATGAGTTTAGCACAATATATCAAGCCGTCGTCAAGCTTCCCTTGGTGATTTTATTGGTGGTAATGAGAATATTCAAGGCAGTGGTCGAAGAAAGGTTCGTGTTCCTAGTTTTCTTTGCGAAATATTCAATTTTAAAAATATCGCACTTTGAATGCAACATTTAGCAAGACCATTTCAGGTATCACATCTTGATGCGATACCTATTTTGACCACACCATCCTATAGCTCGACTTCATCAGAAAGTAAATCCACAAGTTTGCATGAAGCATCTTCAGCAACGAGTCGACAAGCATCACCAGATCGTGGTGTCGTTTCGTCGAAAAATGTTCTTGAATATTTTATTTCTCGCTTATCATGCTAAACATCTTTATTAGATTTTTATAAAAAATTGAAAAGAATGGAGAAAAGAATTGAAATTTTATATTAATGCACCCTTTCTTTAGATCTCGGGTAAGGATGATGTACCAGTGTCATCATCATTAAATCCATCTTCTGTTAAGCCTGATGATATTCCTTATATTCGACAAGTGAATCTTTCTCACATATCTTTTGTTCTCACATATTTTTGAGTCATTCGCATTATTTCATAGTATTTGCATATAATTTCGCAGCTGATTTTGTAATGAGATAAAATGAATTGGAATATTACAATTTTTAAAATTTTCACAGCAAAATTATTGTTTGTGGTAATAAGGCATTCTTTTTACGAGAAAAAAATGTGCTAATTATTGAATTTTATTAAATTCCGTACATTTTTATATTTTTTTAAATTGTTAATTATTTTTAAAGGATTTTTCCGTGGAGCAGTCTTTGTCAGAAATATCACGTATTGTAGTAGCAAAAAATATTCGAAAAACTGATATACGAAAGAGATTGTCTGCACGGAAATCTGTATTTTTATCTACAGGAAAACTTTCCCTCACAGGTATGTTTTTTTTTATTTCCTGACTTTCGTAAAATGTGATACAGAGAAATTTTTTCTCAACAATAGTCCTATAAAGCGCAAAAGAAGAAAAAGCAAGAAAAATTTCATATAAACAGTGGTGATATGGTGAAGAGTTCTTAAAATTAATTCAGAACCTCAAAAATCTTGGGCAGAGATTGCTAAAAGTAAGACACATTCGAGCATTCTATCATCCGAAAATGATCGATCACCAAAATTTTCACATGGTATACCGTCAACTAGTAATGGTTTTAAAAAAAATGGGGATATTAATGGTAATGGTGATTATGGTAATGGTATGGTTGATGATGACCATCGCCCTCGCAGTGTGGCATCTTCATCATCAGGTATATATTTATACATATATATATATATATATTCGCTAGTACTTTTTTAGTTTAAGAGTGCAAGAAAAATTTTATTTATACTAGCAATGCCGAAGAAAGTTCTATGATGGAAAAAATTATTTTTCGTTAACTTTTAGTAGTTTCTTTATTCGAATACCCGAGTTTTCACTTCACATCCAAATAAATAAATCATTTTTTGCATGGTAGACACTTGTCGAAAGTAGTTTTATTATTATAAGTCGTTCGTCAAGTTGGGAAAAGATAGTTTATTGTGCCAAGTTTATGCAGAAAAAAATGTTCAGAAGAAATAAAACTGATCTTGCGAAGGTCCGAAAACTCTGTGGCAACGCAAAAGGGAGAAAGTAATGAAAGCAAGGGCTCGCGCGTTGAGGGTTATTCTTTTTTTTTCGATCCTGATGTTACGAAACAAATGGTAAATTTTCTTTTTTTTATTTTTTTACCATAGTAATTTTGCTGAATCAGTTCAAGTTCTTTTTTGTAGGGTCAATGCAAATTTTTGCACTTTATTTTCTTGGTAGGTTGTTCTCGAAGATTTCAGGTAGAAAGTGAATCTGCCTGCTTCCCACCGTCAGATAAAGCGGGTAAAGCGACTGTATTATCCGGTTCTAATTTAACGTTGAAATTACAAGATCGGACGGTGATCTTACCATTCATGATACCGATTTTGCCATCATATGGTACTTTTAGTAAATGGCAATATAATTTAGCCAGAAACATAGAAATTATGTGGGATGCATTCCTACATTATGGATCAGGTTTGTTGTATACTCAGTCATTTATTGTTTATCATCAGTAGACGTTAATGAATATTTTATTGATTTAATATGTAAAATTAATAACAAATAAATCAACAAATGTGGTAATGTTTTCAGATTTTACTATTTATTTTACAGTGCCAATGAAATATTGTGACTATAAAAAAAAGGCCGATGAACAAAAATAAATCGTAAACGGGTCAGAATAGTTCTTTTATAGTGATTTGTTATAAGTTAGATATTTGCGTAATTTGATGGAAATTATTTTATGATTTCATTTTGTCGAGATCGTTCATTTTATAAATTTTCATGTAGAGCATTATACGTATGATTTGATGTTAAGTTTATTTTTGACATATGTCAACTTTCAGTTTTCTATTTATCAGAAAATTCCATTAAACGGCGAACTGACTAGTAAAAATGCATAAAATAGGCTTGTCGATTGAAAATTAATTCTTCAATGTCAAAATGAAATGTAATGGAAAATTTTGAATTCTAAGCTGTGAATGTAATTAATTGGTCTCTATTACTACAGAATTTTTGTATTGATTATCTTTACTGGAATTATTTTAAAAAAATGTTTTAAAATTTTTTTATTCGCTATTCACGATGAAATTGATAAATAGAGAAAAATCAAATTTTTTTTCTTGTTGCATTAAATGCTTTGTTGGCTTTAGAAAATATTGTATTTCGTTTTTTGCTTGTTGTTTTGCTTAAATTCTTATCACTTCATTTTTTCATCATTTTCTGGTATTTTTATTTTAATTCAAGAAATAATGTAAGTTATTCTATTTATTCGAATTTTTTAAAATAGACAATTTTCATCGTTTAGGTTTAGCTTTATAATTAATAATTAGATTGTGTGGTTGAATGAGGAATGACAGTTGTAAATTATTGGTTCATATTGATAGTTGCTGACGGTATATATTGGAAGAGGAGTGACACACGTTGGTCATTGTAGATTTAGTGAATCTGTCCAAAATTCTGGCGCTATGGAGGAGAACTAGTCAGATGATGGTTAAATGCCATATGACTAAGAAATTTTTGTTAAATAATAAAATGCGTTATCCTGTGCGAAGATAATTTTTGCGTTGTAAATAATTTTCTAATTTTTCTGCTTTTTGTTTTTATATGCTTTAAAATGAAAAACATTCGAAATGCGATTATAAAAAATTACAATTTACTACGTTGAATTTTATGATTTGCTATTGTGTTTATGCTGCAATTAATTGCTCGTTTTGTTTTCGTTTTTAAAGTGCTTTTATTGGTAATTTTATTGTAGAAAAGATTTTAATTATTAATTTGAAAGAGATAAGATTCCGACGAGGGGAAAAATTTTAAAAATTGGTTTTTTCATTGAATTCGGCGATTATTTATTGTTTTTGCTTAATTAGTATTTAAACATTTCATTAAGTTATTGTTTAGGTGAGAATTATGTGATTTTTTTACGAATTTTTCCTTCATTTTCTTTGCTAGTAACGAAAGAGATTTGTGCATAAAATTTTGTAAAATTGATAGCGAGTTAACAGTGAAGTTGATAATAGGCTTGTCTTTATGTAATATGTAATGTATGCTATGTAAGAGCAAATTCCAGTATTCATCGCTGGAGGAAAATTTTTCCAGGTTGCATATTGGCTAAGGGGGAGAACAAAACTTAAAGTGGTAACTAGTCGGGAAGCACATTGTTACCGCTGGCAAAAAGTTGGATCAGCCAAATAGAAATTATGCCAGAATGGAGTCACACGCTTATAACGATTGTTGCAAGAGTTTTTAATAATTTATTATATAAACAAATGAATATTTCCTTAATATAATATGAAATTAATGCTGGTAGAAAATTAATACTTGCGAAGAAGTGAAACAGTGGTTAGGAAATCGGAATGGTGGTGGCATTCACTTGTGTAACCTACCACCAAGGGGTTCACAAGATAAGATTTCTTACTGCGCAATTTAAGGGGCTAAAGCTTTTGGGAATTACGAAATCGGGAATGCTAAACACCTATTCGGAATGCAGTAGTCTAATTCTTATCAGTAAATCATTCCAATGAGATCGATGCAACCATTGCTTAAATATTATTTATTTTACCTTAAAATCGCAAAATATATAAGAATATAAACAAAAGATGTACCATAAAAAAGAATGTGAAATATGATTAGTTACTGATAATTTTTATTGTAAACGGCGTATTCGCTGACTTCTTCACCTCGACTTGTGTCATTAATTTCTCTGTTTGCTTTTTCTAAATTAATTTATTTTTTAGTAAATTTCGTAATTCCCAAACCTAAGTAATGATTTTGCAAAGTTGTATGATTTGGTTGAACAGATTATTCTTTCGTTCAACGGCAAGCTGTGGTACATACATTGCTTGAAGAGAGTAAACCCATCATGCGTTGTACTTCTATTTGTATTTGTAGGTGAAAGAAGCTCATTCTAATAGCGCCAGTAGAGTGAGGCAAAAGAAATATGATAAGCGCTATCAGCAAAAAAAAACAAAGTGGTGGTAGTAAATGATAAAAACATTGGAATTTGATTTTGTTTAAAGAGATGAGCAAAATTTTCGCTGTAGTTTAAAGCAATGACAAACCATTCCAAAGTTGAATTAAATTCGGTATTGGATCTATTTTGATGGTTTCATTTTTTGTTGTGCCATAGCCTGTAATTTTAATAATTATATTAATTTTTAATTTGTATTAAATGGTTTGACTGATTCGATTAATATTTTTTTGCTAAACTTTTTTATTATTAGAAATTTTTATTTAATAGTAAGTGATAAAAACAAAATTGGAATGTGATTTTTTTTAAAGAGATAGGAAAATTTTCGCTGTAGCAAAATTTTATTGCTGAAAACAACCAGTAAATAGACATCAAGCAGCCATAGCTAGTGCTGCATTTTCCCATTGCCGAATTTCGTGTCAGCTGAATTCTACCTGATCCCAGCTTAACACGAATATTTTTCACGCATGACGAAAGAGGCAGAATAAAAAATTTTTCTTAGATGGAAGTAATTGTCATTAAATATGTGGTAAATGTTGTTTAACGGTCAGAAAAACTTTTTAAGATATCTTTTTGTCTTCATGGTAATATTACATTTTCATTATAAAATTCTTGTTTTACCAGAATTATTAAGGGTGTTAGTCCATTGTTGTTCTTCTTCCTTAGGTTCTGACCAGTCTTGAAGTTCACCCGAGGCATATACCGCATAAAATGTTATTCCAGTAAAATGAATTAAGCTTGCGAGCAAAAATACTTTTTCCCAACCATATGCACCTCGTGCAGTTAATTTTTCCGTGACAAACGGACAAGTCAGACCAGCTAATGTTCCGATTCCATTTGAAAAACCCATCAAAATTGCTGCATATCTTGGCGCTATATCCAAGTGGTTGACGTTAAAACCTATTATAATAAGTTGATTTTGAAGCCTATATGATATTTAATCTGCAATCTCATAAGAGACAATAAATTTTTTGATCTCGCATATACCTTAGATAAGCTAAACCAATACCGTATTTCAAAGGAAAATTAGTGGTGCAAATTTTGCAGCATTCACCTGATATCGCAAATCCACTGCAACCAACGGCTAATATAAGCCCAATAACAGCAGTTGTCTCGTTTTTTGAGTAGGCAACTAGCAGCATAAATAATGCTTCACCACCAAATCCTTAATTTTAAAATTCAAAATAAGCAAAAAAAGTTAATGTTTTGATTCCACTTGAAAAACCCATCAAAATTTCTGCATATCGTAACGCAATATCCAAGTGGTTGACGTTAAAACCTATACTTTCCATAAATCCAACTATTTTTTCCATAAATCCTAAGCTGAAATGGTCGTTTAACTTCAAATTTTTGAATATTTCTTCTTTCATCCTTTTATTATAATTAAATTAAATTAAATTAAATTTGCCAGTTTAAAAAAAATTGTAATCAAATAAAATTTTTGAATTTCAAAATTGCTATTTATTAATAATAATTTACAAATATATAAAATTTTGATCGAAATATTTCTTAATAAATGGTGATTTTCAATAATTTTTAATATTTTACTGGTTTTAGCGAATGAAAAAATTTGTGAAAAATCCTTTGCTTTAGTCGAACTTAATGATTGCATTCAAAAAAAACTTTAAATTTGAAATAATTTTTAAGTATTTTTTTTCACAAGTTCATATATATTATAACCTCCGCAATTGAAAAGTTTTCTGACATTTGTAGTCGAAAGAATTTTATGTGATCGTAAATAATCGGCCATTTGTCCGCCAATTAAAACAAATATTCCCATTACAGCGTGTGGAACTGCTGCTATAAAACCACTCTAAATATAGAATTTACTTCTTCTTAAATATTTTTTATCGAAAAAATGTAAAAAAATGAAAGAAATTAAGAATTTAAAACGAAAATCAGTCGCACTTCACGTTACTTTCACGTTATAAAGTTAATTGATTTAACCTCTCTAATTTTCATTCCAAGAGCTTCTTTCATATAAGTTAGTTGATTTTGCAATAATAAATAAAATGTCCAGCTTCGAGCGAAATTTGCTACAATAATTGCATAAACAGGTTTTGATGTCAAAATATCCTTCCATGGTATTGAAGAAAGCTGAAATTAATAATAAAGAAAAAAGGCCAATATTTAATATCAGTTAGGCCCTTCCAATCTCAACTCAACTTCGCCTATTCCAACTATGATTCTTTCCCAATAGAGTTACAAATGGTGCATCGAATTCAGATAGCGAAATTCGTTAAAAAAATCGAAAATCCGCAAAGCTAGTAAAAAGAATATGCTTGACAAAATTTAAAATCCAATATAATCAGGTGAATCGTCGGAGCCTGTGGAACCACATAAAAATCAAAATAAGAGTTAAATGCTAAAGAGTTAAATGCTTTGCTAAATTCTAGAAAAATCGCTAGAATTCATTCATTTGTTTCCAGTTTTTATAAAATTTCTAAGATTGAATTGGTTAAATTTGAAAAAAATTTAATAAACATACTGTTAAATAGCTGGTCGAAATTGGACCTATTCGTTCTTCGATATATTTCTTTTCTTCTTGAGAAATTTTTGGATGAAATGCTGGACTTTCGAATGTTAATGAGAACCAAAATATTGACCATACAACTCCGGCAACGCCGTGAAAAATTTATTTTTATCACTATTTTATAATTCATGAGTGATTAAATAAATAAGGCTCAATTCAGCCAATTATGCGCTATGGTAGACCATATTATAACGCTGCCTCTGAGGTTCGACCAATAATTGATATAAAGAAATTTCTTATACAAACAGGCGGCCGGATTGTGTGATAGGAACGTGCAGAATTTTTTAAGTGCCACGGATTTGTTGAAAATCGCCTTATCCATTTTGTTGGAAACTCAAAGACTGCATTTAATATGGGCTCACATATAATGCATCCCAGCCAACATTTTTTCAGAAATTTTTTCACTATAAAAGTTTTTTAAATTATTTTCAAAAATTTTACAGTATATTTATATTATGTTTATGTTCGTTATTTGCATCTGTATTAATTTTCATTAATATTAATTATATTAATATTGAAAATTTATGTTCATAAAAACGTTAAAAATCTTATTTTCCTTTTCTATTTCTATTTCTTATTATTTAAATTTTTTATTGATTTATATTTTTATATTATTCATTTTTATTATTTTAATCGTGATGTACAGTAATAATAAATTATATTAAATATTATATTAAATATCAAAAAATAAATAATATAAAAATAATAATAACTACGATAAATAAAATATCATATATGATGATTTTTATTTTTTTAAACATAATCTTGTAATTTCAAATAAATGAAATATTATTTATGGAAAACAAACCATAAAAGTAAAAGGGTGCCGACCAACTAACATAGCTAACAAGCCAAGCTGAGGCAGGTAAACCTATCACAGCACCTGCATATGAACCAGTGAACGCTGTTGTTGCAAGTTTTGAGCGCTCAAGTGGAGGTGCCCAGTAGCGCCACACACCATGCATTGCAGGATATGAAACACCCTTAAATTTAGATTTAAAAATATTCGTAATTTTTATTCTTTTATTATTATTATCACTGTTAATATTAATATTGTTGTTTTTTTAAGGCTTTTTGGTTTTTTGAAGATTGCAATTGGTTTTATTACTTGTACAAGTCCTTGAATAATTTGTATAAAAGCAACAAAAGTGTCAGATCTCGTGCGGAACGCGAATGGCAATAAAATATTGAAAAATGAAGCAAGTCCTATTGCTAAGCCAAATAATCTGCAATATTTTAACTTTTTAAATCTTCTTTTACTTCTAACAATTCTCCTCATTTGCAGAAGGACCTATTAATTTCCCATAGAGAGAGAATTGCGCCGATGTATGTTGTTAAAATGTCTTTATAAGTCAAAGGAACTTCTCTGAAACATCATCGTATTCCGTCATCCTCGAGAGTGCTGCTTCGTCGACTGAACGGAAGGCAGCGGCAATTGAACAAATTTTTTATGATTTTGAAAGAATATTTGTATAATGATTTCCGAAAGAATAGGAGTCTAGCGAGTAACAAAAACTTACTTATTCGGAGCGATTTTGGCTGCTAAAAATCCCGCTGGTATTTGCGTTATTAAATAACCATAAAAAAATGAGCTTTCCATAACGCCAAGTTCTGTTCTTGTCCAGTTAAACTCTTTTTGCTGAAATTTTAATAATTGTTGAAGCTTTTTCGGATTTATGACAACTCATTGAGTAAGCATTTCTTCGATGATTATGAGCAAAGCTAAGGATTTCATTTGACGTTTTTCGGATTTATGAGAGAAGTCAAAGATTTTATTTGAGGGTTTTTGAGTTATAGCAATATCAACGATAATGATAGAATATTTCTTCGAAAAAAATTATGAAATGTCCGCTGATTTCATTTTCAATCGCATTCAGTTTTTTTTGCATTATTATTGCATTATTATTGTTATCAATCATTTAAATGCAAATTTGTGCAAATTTAAATAAAAGAGGAAATAAAAGAGCAGATGTCGAACGGGACACCTCTCGATCTGCTAGTAGTGGGTAGCACGTTGGATGCGCTTCTGGTCACTCACATGAATGGTCACTTCACGTGCCATCAAGCTACGAGTCGCTGCTGAGGATTTTCCAATGCTTCAAGTAATTTAATACTTATTCATTTATTAAAGCGCTCACTATATTTATTTTTCAAGCATATATTGTGAAGCATATTAATTAATTAATTTAAATATTTATTTTCTAAAATATAAAACAAACATGAAACTTTCCCCATGGGTCGGTATAATTTCTTGCCATATGATTTTTTGCTGCACCGAAATTACATCTGATACCAAAAACGATCATAAAACCAAGATTTGCTAAAATAGCTAATTGCCATCTTTTGGCACATTTACAGCACGAACATTCTTCAACTGCCTAGAAGAGAAAAAAAAATTTTTTTTAAACAATTACATTAATAATAATAATAATAATAATAATAATAATAATAATAATAATAATAATAATAATAATAATAACAATAATAATAATAATAATAATAATAATAATAACAATAATAATGATAATAATAATAATAATAATAATAATAATAATAATAATAATAATAATAATAATAATAATAATGGTAATAATAACATTGTTAATAACAAAATCATCCTGCCATTATTTTAAAAAAAATAAAACTTGAAAACTTAAATTTTTATCGAAAAAAAAACTTACATCGAGAATTTTATTTGAATTAACATTTTCATCATAAAAATCATTGGAATTATTATAAAGATTTGTGGCTTCATCAAGTTCATAGGCACCATCAACATTATCTTCATTAACTAAACGATTTGTCTTATTTGTTATTAATCTAAAAAATTTCAATTTTTCTTCTATTATGAAATTAATTTTATTACGAAATTATAATAAAATAACTTAAAAAAATTTAAAAAATGAAGATTTTTTCCCCGGTTAATAATATTCTCTAAGAAAAAGAAAATTAGCGATATTTTTGCTTTCCGATCATAAAATTCCTCCAAAAAAATCTGCATGAAAAAAAACGAATTAAAGAACACTTAGATTAGCTAATTCATCTATCCAAATAATTTTCAAGTACAAAAAAACATTGAAAATTCCCTTGACGTAATATTAATATTAAATATTGAATAAGGTTCTAATGATATAATATCCCAAGGTTTTCAAAAGAAATTGTGGAGTATTTTATTCGAGTTTTGCAAATGTGATATATTTGAAAATTTTAGTTGATTAAATTAAGCAAAGAGCATCATAAATCGAGGTAAGCAAAGGTTATGATAAGTTGGTGAAGTTGCGATGAAAAAACGAAATCAGTTTTGCTAGCGACCTTGAATACAGTGCTTATTTGTCAATTATTTACGATTTTTTGCAAATTACGAGATACCAAAATTGATTTTTTCCTCTAATCTGTTCAGTACTGTTATCGTTATTTTTAACTTGGTTAGTACCTTCGAAACGCATTGCTAGGCGCTTTAAATAAATAAATAAGCAAATTGAAACCTTGATAATGGCCCTTTGCATTCGTTAAAAATCTTTTTTGAAGGCTCTACAAGAGCGTTTTGTATATTTACAACATTCATACAATATTTGTCCATAATTTTATAAATAATTTAGTATTTATAAGAAAACTTATTCGAAAATATTCAATCTGATGGATTTCCTGCAAATAATTTTATAATCTTATATATGTTCATTAATAATGAAAAAAATATATAAAAGCGACAGATATAAGATAATATTCTAAGGTTTCCAAATCCTTACAGTTTCTAAAAAAAGGGAGAAAATTAATAAAAAATGCTAGTCAGTCTAAAGCAAAGTCGGTCAAGTGGATAATTTTTTTGCTTACTTCACTCTTTACTAATTAATCCTATCACAAGTTTTCAAAAAATTCACCATAATTTAAGCGATAATTAGCATGGCATTGCGTCCCATTTTTTGCTAAGAATTCTATGTATATGTATAAAATAATGGAAAGCGAATATGATATTTAATGGCCCAATTTTATTCTTGTTTTGGAATTCCTACTTTGTCTGATTTCACTAACTTTTTCTCAGTTAATCGTCTCAGAAATAGAAATAATATATCAATATATACATGCATATATAACCTTGCAAGCACCTGGACCACACTTTTAATTACTCCAGTCAAGAGGAAGAAATCGAATCCATGCTTTATTATAATAAATTTTATGGAAAATGCTTTAATCATGCTATTTGCTACTTGTTAAAAAAATTACAAAAAATTTTTGCAATTATTTAATTTGTTTATAGCTGTAAAAATATATTATTATCAATAAGCGCATAACTTTATTCTAGTGCATGGTACTTTTTAAATAAATGAATAAAAATATTGAATCAGAATGAATTTAAAATATTAACAAGAAAACTCTCAATGTCGAATTTATGCTTATTGATACGCTATTACACGATTGTAATTAAAGAAATTTAATATTTTAATAATGGAATTAGAATAAAAATGGAATTAAATTATATGAAAAATAATAAAAGTATGGAATTTCTTCGAAGTAAAGAAAATTGAAATTATTGCGATAATTGAAAAAATATTCATTGAAACCAAGCGGTACTCAACTGGAAATTTTTATTAGCACAAAACTTCTTTTCTATTTTGATAAATATTTTGATAATTAATCGAAATAGTTATTATTTAGACAAAAAAAATATTGAAGAGTATTTTTAATTAAGGAATTGATTTTAGAATAAAGTCGTATTGGGGAAATTTACAAATTTTCCACTCTAAAAATATTTATAATCGAAATATTTGAGAAAAAATTCAAAACTTCATAAGTTTCTTAGATTAATTTTTCCATTAGATTGGCAATAAAGGAAGAGAAAGCGGAAAGTGATGTGTCTTTCGATATAAATATATATGAATACTTATAAAACCTCATTGCTTTCTTTTGCCATAGAGTGGGAGGGAGGAGAACAACACGGCTAAATAACTGACCGCCTTCATGGTTTAATTTTACCTCTGACAGGAGCAAGCCTTTCATTCCAGGTGCTACTGCTTCTGGGCGATTCTCTAGTATTTTACTCAAAGGGTGTAGAAATTTCTAGAAATAGGGAGTGGTGTAAAAAAGGCTCCAGAAACAAAGCTTATTCTCAAGGAAACCCGTGACAATTTGTTGGCTCGTTTTCGCTAAAAATAGACCATTGGCATATTAGTTTTGCAAAATAACTAAATGAAATACTAAATTCATCCAAAATAAAAAATTCTTTTCAGATATTTTTGCAAACAGTTCAACGAAAATTTATGAATTTTTCCACAAAAAAATTTGTATAAAATTAGATTGTAGTGAAGAAAAAAAACCGAATATTAACAGAAATATTGAAAAAAAGAATTAAAGTTGATATTTTCCATGATATGTTCCTTGACTTTTCAATCGCTTCTTAAAAAATACAAAAATTCGTTTTATTAAATTTGATAAAAAAGCAGAAAATTAATGATTGCTATTCAATTTGCTTACTTATTTATATATATTTATCGACTAAACAATTTTATTTATTCTTAAATAAATTCTTAAAATTTTTTAAAGAAAACTCTTTACCTCGAGTTGTTTGTTAAATTATTTCATCATTTATCTCCTTTTTTTGATTCATATCAATAAATTCTATGCAGTAATAATCGTGGATTTTTTAAAGTTAAAAAAATATCGTATATCAGATGCTTGCAAGGAGAACTGCCATTTGATCTGTCGAATCAGTTGTTACATCCTTTATAATGTGATTGATTCTGTAAAATTTTTATTGTTCATTTCTTAAATATAAGAGTTTTATCGTTATTCGCATGGATTATGAACAACAATCTTAGTTATTATCGGCGATAAAGTCTGAAAATTAGGAGTGCCAACATCGAAAAATTATAATAAAAAATTATATAACAACAGATAATTTCAAGCATTTAGCTATGCCAGTAAAATTTTGAATCGCTGAAATTTTTTTAAGGAATTTTTATGAGATTATATGGTTTTTAATACTGTAATAAAAAGCGCTCATGAATAGTCGAATAGAAGAGCATTGCGCATTGAATAATTCTTTATTTAAATTACCAATAAGCACATAACTATAGTGTGGGGTGAAGGGGAGGAGGGGAGGTTGAGATGTACGATCGCCAAGTAGGTGATCCATAGAAAAATTCTCCTCCTAGTAGAAATCCGGATTGCTGGCGATTCAGCCGTAATAATCGTAATAATCGTGTTATTTCTAACACCAAGTGGCCCTCTATTAAATATTCCTAACCGTATTAATGCCGGAGTGGGGAACTTCAGCACAGGATTCTAGGCTTACCAAAAATTCGTCAGCCACTTGAATTCATGAATTTTTTCGATAAATTTGCCCAAAATAGGAATAAATCATATAAAGCGGCTATGAATCACTTTACTCAACTATCCAATATTATAATATACCAGTTTGTAATTCCATTAAATGAAACAAATCCATTCATGCAAAAATAATATTATTATATATTCCGATTTCAAACGATTTCTATAGATTTCAAAGCGTGTTTATACCTTTAAAATATAAAATAATTTATTTTAAATTTAATTTTGTTAAGAATATTTTAAAAAAAAAATATTTTGGAATATTTGTTCAAATAAATATTCAATTTTATACAACCGTTTATATGAACAAAAAGAATACATTTATAATATATTTAAAATATGAGAAAAAACATTTCAATTAGTACTGAATACATATGTAGAAATGTAGAAAACTAAGAACTAAATTAGAGCAAATAAAAAGCCAAATTCAATTTAATTCTTTAATTTCCGAGATTTTCTAATATTCTTAGCACATCGAATAAAGAATAGGATTAGGATTAGTAATAAGAATATAACTCGTTTTTATTTTATTTTTGAGGCGATATTAAAAAGCTTAGCAAATATGCGCAAATTGGTACGTATATAAGTTTGCGAATCAAGATATTAAAAGCCAACAAATCTAATTAATTTTTACTTTAAAAAGTAGAACTGATTAAGAGAAATACTTATTAACAATGTGTACTGATGTGTTAAAAAATCATCTTTTTGTCGAAGAAAAAAATTTTTAATTTTCAACCAATATTGTAATTAATTATTAATTAATGAAAAAAAAGCTTGTCATCTTTTGCTTATCGTACCACATCAACCGTTATTGCTCTCCACAGTATTAAAAACGGCAAGTGTATTCTGATAATAATTATGATAGCGACAATTATTCTCAAAATTTCTTTGATTATTTTTTCGACATACAAAAAGAAAAACGAGTTTTAGATTATTATTTATTTTATATGAAACAAGTTTTATGATAAAAAATTTGCTGTAAATAATTATTTACTGGTTATTAATTATTTTTATGCATAAAATATTCATTGAATTTTCATAAATATTAATTAAATAATAATATTTAAAGGAAATATTAAATATTAATAGAACAATTTTCAAAATTATCGAATTTTAAGTGTCGCCAATCCATTGGAAACATTTTTTGAACGTTAGAAAGGATATTCTTCCCAAAATTTGTTTACTCGTTTATAAAAATATTAGTTTCATAAGTAGCCAACCACTTATACGACAAAATAAATACGAGAAGAAGAAAAAAATCTTAAGAATTTATTTATAATAGATTATTGATACATAAATAATGACTTATTGCAGGTATGCTGAATAGCTTCGACTGCGAAGCGAAATAGCATGGATTTCGTTCTTTGTCGATCCTTGAGAGAAACTGCCATAAATGCAAAATGATGGCTGCTGGCAACTTATCTGCACGTACTATGTAATAGATTCGTCCTAGTACTCAGTGGAATCAACTAAGTCAGAAATGCTGTGTGCTACTTGAAAAATAAAAAAT